TATTTAATCATTGCTTAATTGAATTGTGAAATCTTTATACCATATATGTTACCAGAAATAAATTCATTGGAACAATTGACTTCCGCAGCGACTCAACTATCGGTGTGCGAGTCTATCAAACCGAAACAAGACGGCCTACAATACCCACCAAAGCTCTACACAGATGTTAGTTTAACTTGGCCTGAAATGAATCCTAAGAAGATGCATAGACGGCTGCATTTGGACATACCTCGTACACACCGCCGGGTACAGAACTGTATGTCAGCATATGATTGGGTGTGTTGGTTTTGCTAAGGATTCAAGCTGCTAGCTAGAGGGTTATTTTATGTCATAAGGAATTAGTATAGATTCTACCTGCATGTACTAGTCCGTTTGATACATAGCGTTCATATATATCTACTTGTATATGGGTGATCCAACCCACTATAGTCCGCAAACTGTACATATGCATTCTGATTATGACCCCTTCTTAGCTTACTATGCGTTTTAACATTCCCACTAGTGTATTTGTGTGTGGACTAAGAACGGTTCGTCCAAGGTATATAACCACTGTATGTCTCTGTACAAAGTAACTCAGACAAAATGGAATAACAAATATTCCATAAATCTGCGAGAGGTCATTCGAAGTTACAAGTGTTGGAAGTACATACATTCATCAGGTGATGCACTTCACCATGTATCATTACTCGTCATAGCACAGCAGTATATATTAAAGTAGTCTACATGATACTGGTAAATACGCAATAAACACGCCCGACAGAATGATAGCTGGTTGCAAAGTGGTACACCACAATGAGGTATGTTTGTCACGTATCACCATGTACAAACACGAAGTGTGATAGTTTTTTTATCAGTTTCGGACACCACCAGAGGGTTTTTTAGCGCTACGAAGCAATTGTCTGACCGGTTATTGGTTGACGAGGTGGAATATGGGGTATACTGCTCTCACTTTATAGAGAATAATTCATCATGCACACCTTGTTCCTTTCTCTATGTGCAGGTTCCTTCCCATTCGTTGAAGGGGTGACGCATACAAGGTCGTTTGAACGTCAGCTGAATGATCCTATCATTAGGTAAATCAATTCAATCACTATTTATAAAAACACACATGGGCACAATAATATGATGTCGAGATAAAAGCGATAGAGTTACGCCACATAATGGTCCCCTGCAAGTTTAATCCTGCTCGCTTTGTTCTGGCAAGATGTATATGTATACCAAACGAAAAGATACTCGAGATAAGATTACCGCATATCTAAAATACGGCAAGTCATGGGGTTATAATGTACTGTACAACACAAGAAATAGGGCTGGGAAGTTGTCTCATAACTGAAGTCAACTACACCGCAGGGCTATTGAGCGCATTCAGAACCCGAGAGACTGCCGTAGCGTAGGATACGACATTCATGTAGGGCATTACGCCGGTCTGGGTTCACAGTTACACGTGGCTGGTAGGAGAATGCTCGGGGCGAACACACACGGCAGAGTTTTCATCTTGAACCACGAGACAGATACTTTGTTAGGTGCTGGCTTTACCGCCAGCCAGACTTTCTGTGAGGAATCTGGGGTGCATGGGTAGGTGATACTGCCGGGCGTGTAAGTACAAACGTAGCTGCAATAGGTAAGGGTGTATACAAAGACACATATGACGGTGTGAGACCGGCGCCATACTTGGAGAGTGAATTACCAATCAGGGTTTCTGTTGTATGTTCGATGTGCACCGATAAGATAGGCCGTCCAATGAGTGTATTCTGAACACACGTAGCAACAACGTATCCTGATCACTATCGTCGCGAGTGTGTCGGTCATGATTCGCAGACTGACCACTACACACTTAGACTCAGAATTTGTCAGTTGCATTAGCTTTGTGTGTGTATATAGACACGCTACTGGAACAGTAACCCATCTTGCCTTTTAAACCGTCGAGTAAACCGCTTAACGCGATCCAAAGATATTGGACTTTAGGTTTCGTCAACATTGAAAGGGTTAAATGTAGATGAGATGGACTTCTTTTCCAATACACGTGTCCTGTTTGCGATCCTTGTCGTTTTATAGTTTGTGTGTATTGTGCTGCACAGTATTTCTATGACAGCCATGTTTGCTCAGAATCTTTGACACCATGGGCAGTCAGTGCGCACTATCGACAACTATTCGTACGAGCGAATTTACTTTTCAAATACAAATTAAGTCAAAGCAGTAAGGTATGCCTTGTGTTTGCATTGTGGTCGTTGTACCTAGCTAATTTATTTTGGTACTGTCCCGTACAAGCTAACCCCTAGATGCGCAAGGGTTGCTACTACTATAATTTATGTATATCACAATGTGACTTAAATAAACTTATTAGACAAAGGCCAGATGATTAAGCAACCTATCTCTTGATAATCCATAATTTTATTTCTTGTGTTGGTTGCGATTGACCTCAGGTTTGAGTGCTACTTCCAGACGCTCAGCAACTGCACAGAATACGGATCTAGTGCGGAGGCCGAAAGTGTAGAGATTTCGGGCCGAAAACTGACCGGGAATAGGGTGTGTCCGCGGTTTCTGTTTTCAAAGTATATATATTGAATTTCTCGTCGAATTCTTAGTTGCATTCTGAATTGTACTGTACCTTTTCAGACAACAGCGGGAACTATTAATCCGACTCGTATTGAGTGGAGTATAATACAACTCTAGTGCCAAAATCAAAACAGAAAAAAAACAGTTCCGTGGATATTCAAAAACAAAACAAAAACTGAGTTTGTGTACACATTTTCGCCGCCTACAGGATCGTCTGGCACCCCTTAAGGACCACACAGACTTTCAGGGCATCACCAGCAACACAAAAGAGAGCGTCCGCTTGCAACGAGCCTACGCAACCGAATACATGCTCAGGCCCAACACACGCTTTCAACGTAGGTGGTTGCATACTCAAGCTTCCTATGTCCGCATGGAATATATATGTCGCTCCATGTGGGTATGATTCTGTTCATTTTGTTGTCCTGGAATATGTGATATACATATATACATATATATATATATACATA